AGATGGTATTAGCAAAATTACATCTAAATTTTACAACTACTAGGCACATAGTACTTAACGCCGACCTCGAAAGCAACATAAGTCCATTAGCCCATTTTGTGTGTTTTTCTCAAGTTGCACTTACCACTTACCTCTTTTATTATATTTTGCGGCTATTGTTTCACGTTTTTCACCAAATTTGTTTTACAGAATGAAAAGTTTCTCATCTGCCTGCTCCCTCCACTGAAAATGCAACCACCGCAGTTCAATTTTCCAAAAGTTTTAAGCAATTTTCTGTTCTTTAATACTCCTAGATGTTTTTTAATTGCAAATGTACCAAAATTACTTAAAGTTGCTGTCCACAAAGAAGAAAAATCACCGCGCTTGTTGGCATCATTCGCTAACAAAGGTGTAGCCAGATTACAAGGAATGCTTGGTGCATATACAGCGTTGATTTTGAGCTAATCCTAAGTTTTGTGGTAATAAATTAGTTCGCTGAAACTAGTAAAATATAGAAATTTGATGCACTTTATTATTTTACTATCAAACTCACCGATTATGGTCTCGTAACAGGAAATTGAAATTATTTTTAAAAGCAAACAAAGGGTATGGCAGCCCAGATTTTCGTTTTGCTTTGTTCGCTTTCATCTTTTTCGATGTCGAAATTTTTTTTCGAACTCCTTTAAATTCAAGGCTACCACCTTATTCAAGGCGAATTAATACAAGGTGGTAGCAGTAACAGTACAATTCCACAGAGAGCTCTTCAGGCTTTCAGCAATAGCTGAATTTAACATGATCCAATTTCAACAGACCAGAAAAGAAAGAGTAGTTTTCTGGCTGACGTTTGTAATCTCGGCGCCATGTTATTTTCCTTTGAAACGATCCAAATCCCTGCAAGAACAGTGACCATCATTTGACAAATCATTTGACTGGCNTCTAAAGGGCAGTGTGAAAAATCTGATGTAAACATTTGTGTTCCGTCTTCCTCCGACTTATGGCATTATTTAGTTGTCTCTTTTTAACCAACGCAAAATTTGTATATGTGTTGGTAAGATAAATGAGAATGTGTTAGTTTCCATCACACAATTCTTGTAGGGATGTAAACCAAAAATATGAAGACGAAATATAGAGAAAAAAATTAAGGCAATTTTTGAGCGCATGTTTGTGCTAACTAATTTATTATTTTTGTACATGTTTTTGCAACCGATTACCGTGTCCTTCATTCTAATTACATTTCAACAGAAAATAAACATAAATACCCTGCAAGAACAGTGACTATCATTTGACAAATCATTTGAGTGGC